CCCCCCCCCCCCCCCCCCCCCCCGCCCCCTGCGCCGCTGCCTCTGCCCACACTGGCTCCTGCTCACAGAGGCCAGACCTGCCCCACCAAGAGTAAGGGTCCACCTGGCAGACCATGGGAGCCACCCATGTAATGCAATTTTCTAGTTGCCACATTAAAAAAAGGAATAGGGCACCAGACGCAGTGACACACACCTGTGATCCCAGTGTCTCAGGAGGCTGAGGCAGGAGGACTGTAAGTTCAAAGCCAGCCTCAGTGACTTAATGAGGCCTAAGCAACTTATTGAAACACTATCTCAAAATAAAAAGGACTGGGGACATGGCTCAGTAGTAAGGCACCCCTTAATTCAATTCCCAGTACCCCTCACACCAAAAAAGAAAAGAAATAAAGCTAGGGCCAAGGCTCTGGGTTCTAACCCCAGAACCATAAAAATAATAATAATGCTGGGCACAGTGGCGCACGCCTGGGATCCCAGCAGCTCAAGAGGTTGAGGCAGGAGGATCACAAGTTCAAAGCCAGCCTCAGCAACGGTGAGGTGCTAAACAACTCAGTGGGACCCTGTCTCTAAATAAAATTTTAAAAAGGGGGCTAGGGATGTGGCTCAGTGTTTGACCGCCCCTGAGTTCAATTCCCGGTACCAAAATAATAATAATAATAATGTTTAAAAATAGATAACATTAAATAACATTTTATTTGACCCAATATATCCAAACCATTATTTGCATGTAACTGACGTTTTACAATTCTCTGTCCTTTCAGAACCTGACAGGTGTTGACACTGTGCTCAACACCAGCCACACACCTCACAGCTCTGTTGTGGAAGGCCAGCATTGTCTCTGAAACAGGTTTCTGTGGCACTGGAGGGTGCTCCATGTGGAGGGCTCGCCCTCCCTGTCCTCAAGCCCCATCCGGGGTGGACCCTGCCCTGTCGGGCTTTAGGAAGCTGCACCCTGAGCACTCCCTGGCCTCCCCTGCCTAGTGGCATAGCCACTGTGTTCCCTGTGCTTGCTGCAGGGGCAGCTCAGCCAGTGGCCCCCTCTCACACCACCCAGCCCCTTGGTAATTCAGGGAGCAGTGCCCCTGAGCTCTCCACCCTGGCACTACCTGAACACATAGGGTGGGTAGTGTCCACAGCCTAACCACAGAGCCACCAGGACTGTGTCCCCCACCCCACCCCCACCCCCGGGAGAGATGGGCTGCCTCCCAGGGCTGAGGCCGCACAGGAAGAGCTCTGGGCTGGAAGCGCCTTCTGGCAGCACAGCATCCTGAGCCCAGCCTGCCTATCTGCCTGTCATGCAGGAGGCCTGAAGAAACACTTCCTATCTGGAAGCACACACCTGCTCCTCCTGGGCCCCGCACCCTCTGAGGCTCCTTGTGGTCAAAGTGATAAGAAGAAGAGTTATCAGTGCAAAAGGCTCTGGCACCTCTCTGCCAAGGGAAAGAGACAGCAGCATGCAGAGCAAGTCAGAGGACAGCAGTTCCCCTGAGGAGGAGTGGAGACAGCTAATCCTGCCTAGCAGGCATCTGCAAGCATGTCTAAGGGCAGGCTCTGGTGTGCCAGCTCCTGGCACAAATCGATGACATCAAACAGAACCACACAGTTCAGGAGCACACTGAGCAAACTGCTGAGACATGGGGAAGGGTTTTTACTCAAATATAAACCTACCTTTTGGGAGTGTGTATGGTGCTGGAATGGAGCCCAGGGCCTTGAACGAGCTAGGCAACTAAGTACTCTGCTACTGAGCTTCAGCCCCAGCTAAACCTACATTTTTGGATAGGGATTTTCCCACTAAAATTAACAAATTAACACTGGAATTCCTTCTTGTCACTTCAGCTATTGTGGCATCTCAACTTGAAGACATACAATTACTCCATACCCGTGGCACTCAGAGACGGCCAACACTGGGATGCTCTTAGGATAATCAGCTACCAATTAATAGTGATCCCCACTAACCCCAAACACCAACCACAGATGGCCCTGATAAGTTATCTATGACAACTTCTGAGGGGACCCTATGGTCTAAGGAGGGCTTTTCATCAATTTCCTCAGGACATAAAATATGCCCTGTTCAAAAAAAAATTGGTGTGCTGACCACAGGTTTATTCCTGAAATCACACATTCAACATTTCAACAAGGCAGACCACAACAGCTCCCACGAGGAGGAGCAGTCCTTGGTTGTCTAAGACACTCTTTACAACATGCCAGCACAGGACAGGTGGGGACTGTGGGAGTGACAGGAGCGGTCACAGGACAGGCAGGGCTGGCCCCGTTGATCCCAGCACATTGGACACTTGAAAACCCTGACATCTGATGCTTCAGAAATAGAGCAAAACTGGATGTCTCCACCAAGCCCCAAGCCACTTACAGGAGCACCGGGCACACCCTGATGCCCCATGGGGGCCTGGGTCATTTGGTCCTTTATGTAAGGTGCTCCCCCTCAGCCCCACACACTAAGAGCTGGACACTGGAAGATGGACCAGCCCCAGTCTGTGGGACGGCTCAGCCCAGGGAGACCTCTTTTCTCAAAACTCTTCTAAAAGAGGAAAAGGATCTTTTCCATCAAAATCTACAACATCAACTGAACTATGAAATGACTCTCTTTATACCTAAGTACCCCAAGAATCCCTTAGACTCCCAAGATGAGAGGTGGCACCTGCCTGCTCCCCTCTGGTGCAAATCTGACCTGAACCCAAACTCTGGCCCCAGGAGGGCACTTTCCATGGCAAGGAACTGCCAGCAAGGAATTCTGTGGCAGGAACAACCTCACAGGCCCTTCTCTCCAACTATAGAGATGTCCTCCTTAGTCTCTTCCCACTGAGTTGGAATCCCAACAGGGGCAGGGCCCTCCATCTCTGCCTGCCAGCTATGTAGACATCCCTCCAAGACAAGCAGTGGCCTAGCAGTAACCCCAGCCACTCCAGAGGCTGAGGAAGGAGGGAGGCTGAGGAAGGAGGACAGAAGTTTAATACCAGCCTGGGCAACTTGGTGAGACCCTATCTCAAAGTAAAAATAAAAAGGGCTGGGATGTACTTTAGCAGCAGAGCACCTCTGGGTTCAATCTCACTACCATAAATAAATAATAAATTAAATGTTCTCTATTTGCATGTTGTTTCTAAAATCATTCATTTTGATTTCTTTTTTAAAAACCACTCGATCACAATTCTATGGAATAAGGTCCAGTTTCTTTGCCAGGGCAACCCGGGAGTCCTGGCCAGGTGGTCACCGATCATCACTCAGGGTAACCAAGAGGTGCATCGGGGTTCGCACAGCTTTGTATCACCTGTTGAAAGACTGCTGATTGCGTGATTAAAGAGCTCAATCCCGGTCACGTTTTTAAAAATGGTACAAATGCTAGTGCAAAGTAGACATATTTCTGGCAGAATTAATTTTTAAAAAGAGGGAAACCCCAATTCATTCAGAGAATGACCCAAAGGAGATGCTCCCACGAAGCCGGTGGCTGGGCGCGCCAGCCCATGGAGAGCCCAGGGCAAGCCCTACAACAGGCGCGGCCACCTGCGCGTCTCCACAGCCCCGTCGGCACCCAGGCGAGCCAGGCCACCCCGCGCGCAGCGGCCCCTCGCGGCACGGCTCCCTACCTGCCAGCCTCCCGCGCTCGGGGCGCACCAGCCCCAGCAGCTTCCGGGCTTCCGAGCGCCCGGCCACAGCGGGGCGCGACCGCCAGTCCTCCCCGGGGCTCGCTGGTGGCCCGTGCCGCCCAGCCTCCGTCCCAGCCCCGGCCGCCGCCGCGGGGCCGCCCTGGAGCCCGCTGCCCTGGGACCCGGCCCAGCGCCCCGGGGCCCTCGCAAGGCCCGCGCCGCCCGGCAATCCCGGCCGCGCTGACAGGAGAGTAGGGGCGCGGGCGGCCCGGGTCCACTCGAGGGCCGACGATGTCCACGCGCGGGCAGCAGGGGTCCACGAGCGGGCGGCCCGGGTCCACTCATGGGCCGACGCTGTCCAGGTGCCGGTTGCCGGGGTCCATGCACGGACGGCTCGAGTCCACTCGTGGGCCGATGATGTCCCTGCGCGGGCGAGTGGGGCCCGCCGCATGAGCAGCAGCAGCGGCCAGGCTAGGGGGCCACGCATGGCGCCGCGTCCGACCGGAGCTTCTCAACCGCCGGCCCCGCCGCGCGCCCGAGGACCCCTCCGGCCCAAGCGCAGGGCGTGGACGCAGCGCCGCCCGCCCCTCCCCGACCGCTGACACCCGCCCCATCAGGCCGGCTCCCCCAGGCCGCGCCCGCCTCCGCCGCCGCCGCCACCGCGGCAAGGCACACCCCGGGGCGGCCCCAGCCCGAGCCACCCCGAGCGCCCCCGCCGGGCAGCCAGTGCCGCGCACCGGCCGCGGGACTGGGCGCCCGCGCCTGCGCACTGCAAGGAGCCCGCTCGCGCCCCCGCGTCCTCCGCGTGTGGCTCTGGGGCGGCGCGGGCGCGTTCTCAGGCCGGAGACCGGCGGAGCGCACCGGAGTGGCACACGCGGCCCTGGGGGTCTGGCGGCGCGGGGGAGGGGCGCTGCGGGGAACCGATGCGGGAACGCGGCGGAGCGGGACAGGGGCGAAGGGAAGGGGCAGGCGGCGAGCGGGTCACCCTGAGTGGTGCAGAGTCCGGGCGGAGGCGCGGAAGCCTCCGGGAAGACGCGGATCGGGGAGGCGTGGAGGAGAGGGCTGGCAGAATGAAACTGGGATGACCTGGTGTAGGGTCACCGAGCCGCCGGAAGACCATGGAGAAGTTCCATGCGCTCTCGTCCTGAGATTTCGTGGACATCTGCGCCGGCACCGCGGGAAACCATCCGGCCTTCTCGTGGGCGCGGGCGGGGTGGGGGCAGTGCAGAGTTCTGTGGACTCCTAGGTATTTTCACCGGACTCACTTCAGTTGGCTCACAAAACGAAAGCAAGCAAAAACTTCAACAATCAAGATAAAATTTCAGTGCAATTTTAAGAATTTTAAGAAATCAAGAGCAATGCAAAAAAAAAAAAAAAATGTTCATAATGAACAAAAGTTCAAAATCCCAAATGCAGGATCCAGCCCACTTTATCATCTCTTGCCTCCCAATCCAGTCCTGGAAGCTTCATTTACAAAAACCTGTAATCTGTCATCTGATATATTTTTTTTAAAATGTTTATTTTTTAGTTGTAGTTGAACACAATATTTTTATTTCATTTGTTTATTTTTATGTGGTACTGAGGATCAGACTCAGGGCCTCCAGCATGCTAGGAAAGCGCCCTTCCGCTGAGCCACAGCCCCTGTTATCTGATATTTTAAAAATTTGCATTAAAATAATTTTTTCATTGCTTGATTACTGAGATACAAGGGGTGGAAGGGGAAGGGCCAATAATAGGAAGGCAGTGTAGGATTAGGGATTAAGTCATGGCTTCATCTTCCTGTGAAGGAGGAAGTAAAGTCCTCTGAAATCCAGTCCCTCAGACCCAGGGAGACGCAGAGTCCTCCCCTGCAAGGTGAAGTTGACCTTTGAGTAGGCAATGCCTTCTGGGGTAGACCTTATAAGGTGACCTTATGATGCATCCTGCCACCTTCAAACCTTCCCAGATGGAGAGGAAGTGGCCATCTCAGCCCAAACCTAAGTTTCCTCTCTTTCCCACTTTCCAGAAAACACTTGCTATGGAGGGCCAGGGAATGAGGCACTGGCCACAGACTCTTGCCCTCAACAACATGGAGTCTAGTCTGCCCTGCATTCTCAGCCAGTACACACTAGGCCTGGAGTGCATGGGAGAACAGCTCCAGAATAGCTGATTCATAAAACAGGCTCTCCATGTTGTTACACTTCTAGAACTTAGTTGGGGAAGTAATCTGAAAACAGTTATCCCCCAACAAAAATGTCAGGCTTAAAAAAAAATGTTACCCAGACAACCACAATAATATACATAGCCAGCATTCTTCAGTAGCATAGAATACACAGAAAATGTCCAAGCTTTTTAGAAAGTATTGGAAGTGGAGGAAGTTTCTCTGAAAAGGCAAGGATGCCCCAGGTGCATGGGGAGGATCACATTGCTTAGGGGTGGGTGCTGTAGCACCCAGCACAGCAGCTGGAATAAAAGCCCATCCTGCCCTCAGAACAAGGGCATTTGGTGGAGGTGTGGCTGACCTCAAACAAAATCTGACCCTCAGGGAGCAGGGTCAGTAGGCTTAGCAGCTGACAGGTGTGAATTCAGAAGGGAGCTCTTCTGAGGAAACCCAGAGAGGATTACCTCAAGGGCAGACTTTTTAGGTGTCTGCCACCTCAGCAAAGTGGAAGCCCAAGTGGACACCGGAGTGCTGGAAGCCAAAAGCTGCTCCCTGACTTGCAGCCTGACCCTGGGTCATCTGACCCTTCCCAATGCATTTCTTTCCCCATAACTCAAGCTCACTGTGTGGCAGGACAGTGCCTGGCAGAGGGATCAGTGAGGCATGTACCATGATGGTGTGGAACTCACTCTACAGAAGCACTCTGGAAGTTGTTCTGAAGGAATTCATCTGCCCAGTGTTCTCATGGTGAATGCTATGGGTGCACTTCACTCCTCAGCCATGTGTCAGTAGGCAGTGCAGAGTTTGTGGAAGGTTTCAGTATTGTTGGTGTTTTGCATCCCCCAGCCCCTGCTGGGTACTGGGAATTAAACTCAGGGGGTTCCACCACTGAGCTATATCCCCTGCCCTTTTTGTTTGTTTGTTTGTTTTTGAAATGCTGCGGATCAAACCCAGACCCTCATGCATGCTAGACAAGCACTGTGCAACTGAGCAACATCCCCAGTCCCTCTTATTTTTTATTTTGGGAACAAGTCTCACTAAGTTTCTGAAGCTGACCTCAAACTTGACATCCTCCTGCCTCAGCCTCTTTAGTCACCAGGATTACAGGTGTGTGCCACCGTGCCCAGTGCTTTTAAGTTCTTTTTCTCACTTCTCAAAAAAAAAAAAAAAAAAAGCATTGTTATGGATTGCATACCTATTTGTATCCCTCAAATATGTATGTTGAAGTTCCAACACTCAGTGCCTCTAATGTGACCTTACATACATTATTAGTTAAATTAAGATGAGGTTACATTAGAGTAGTGTCCTTGTAAGAAGACAGCTGTCTGAAGACAGAAACATGGGGAAATTCCAGGGGCTGACCAAGGCAGAGCTGTGAGTCACCGAGCTGCAAGCCGAGGGAGGACAACACCAGCCAATCCTTAGAGACCTGCAGGGACCAGGAAGGGCTCCCCAGCAGGATCCAGAGGGAGCTCAGCACAGCTGAGCTGTGACTGCTGTTTAAAGCCACCAACTTATAATACTGCATCATGGCATCTTAGCTGACTTACACAAAAGCACCCTGGCTGTGTGCGGTGGCATCTGCCCATTAGTTCAAGACCAGCCTGGGCAGTACCACAAGACCCTGTCTCTAAAAACAGAAGCGAGCAGCCTAGTGAGACCAGATGGTGAACCTGATTCTTGACCATTTACCATGTTGAGGTTCAGCATTTTTCCTTAACACCCTGGGGTTAGACTGAAACACAGGAGAGATCATCCATACTGTGTCATTCTTTTGGTTTTTAGTTATTATTTGAGCTGGGTTCTCACTATGTTGTCCAGGCTTGTTTCAAACTCCTGGGCTCAATCCGTCTGCCTGCCTCAGCCTCCCAAGAACTGGCAACACCACACCCAGCTAATGAAGTTTTTAATTGACAAGTTGTAATTGTGAGTGCTCGTGGGGTGCAGTGTGGCATTCTGAGATATGCGTGCAGCTTGAATAGGCTGAATCCAGCTAATCAACATTGATTTGCTCCCTTTTGTGGTTAGATGTTTGAAACTTTCTCTCAACTGTTTTGAAACACGTGACACATCATTATTACTCTACTGAAATAGCCCTCAGGAACATCTTCCTCCTGTCTAGCTAGAACCTCATGCCCTGTGACCAACATCTCCCAGTCCCTTGCTCCTGCTGTTCAGCCATTGGCAACCACTGTTTTCTCTGTCCAAGAGTTTGACTTTCAGGTCCACATAGAATGGAACCATGCAATATTCCTTTCTCTGTGTCTGGCTTACTTAGCATCTTCCAGTGTCTTCATTTGTCATAGCCAATGACAGAATTTTCTCCTTTCTTCAGGCTGTAGAGAACCAAGTTGTGAGCACACATACCACACTTACTTTATTCATCCACCCAATGCTAGTTGATCCCCAGTCTCAGCTATTGGGGACAGTGCTGGGACAAGCATGGTAGTACAGGTCTCTCAGTGCACTGATTTGAACTCCCTTGGATCTATACCCAGATTATAGCCCGTCACTTTGCTCTATTCAGATTTCACCTCAGGCTCAAAGATGCAAGGTTGACTGTGATATGTGTGTCAACTCTATTTTTCAGTCCAAAACATGGGACCCCTTGGCTTGAGAGAGAACTTCAGTACACATTCCCACCTCAATTTGTGTATTTCTAACTATAAAAATATGTGCTCCATCTGATTGTTCCACAATGTACACATGTATCAAAACATCACATTGTTGTGCAAAACCAAAGCAAAACAAAAAGGCAGTTCACTCAAAGGCTCAAACATATTAAAAGGCAAAAAGAGGACTGGGGATGTGGTTCAAGCGGTAGCGCGCTTGCCTGGCATGCGTGCGGCCCGGGTTCGATCCTCAGCACCACATACAAATAAAGATGTTGTGCCCGCCAAGAACTAAGAAGTAAATATTAAAAAGACACACACTCTCTCTCTCCCTCTCCCTCTCTCAAAAACAAAAACAAAAAAAGAAAGAAAGAGATGTTCTAACTTCCAGTAGGAGGCTTGCAAGTGAGATTACAAGCTGACATCTTTTCCCTTCCCTCTGCCAGTTTAGCAAGAAGTCCAGTTAGAGTGTGTGGATGGGGATGAGGTGTAAAACCAGGCACAGCAGATGATAACATGAATGCTACAGTCTTGGTGGCCCAAAGACTCTGCTATGTCACTTTTAGAATTCTTTTAATAGACTTAGCTTTTAGAGTCATTTTAGGTTCACAGAAAAATTGAAAGAAGAGAACGAGGAGTTCCCACACAGCCCTGCCCCTCTCCCCTACTCTCAGCTTCCTGTCCTAGAGTGGCACCGTAACTACAAATCCACAGCTGGTGCTCAAGTCCCTGGTG